ATATATATATATATATATATATATATATATATATATATATATATATATAATATATATATATATATATATATATCTCAATAGCCATGAAACTTGAGACCTGTTTCCTATAATCCTTACTCCACTCAGAGGGACATGGGCCTCAGTACCAATGGCATGCCTCAAACTCCATCCTGAAAGCTACATCACAACAGCTGCCCTCCAAGTAGCAGGTTTTGCTTCAATAGAAAGCAAAATTAAAATTACCTCCAAATTTTAGTTCCCCTTGGTCTTCCTGTGCATTCTTCCATTGGACCCAATTCCTCCAGGCATTTACCCCATACATGTACTTCAGAGTCATCCCGGAAACAGAGCAGCCTGGATAGGAACCCTGCATAAGATTCCGAGGCTCCACAGAAACTATGGACTTCTTCCTCCCCTGCAGGAAATCCAAAAAAGCTCATAACACAGTGTCCAATTCTGGACCCCTTTTAACCTGATCTCACAGGAAAAGTGCATTACACTTTGACCAGCTACTAGACGCTTACACTCCTGATGCTCCTGTTATAACACAGTGTCAGAGGACTTCACAAAGAGTGGAGAAATATTAACCTCGTTTTAAAGACGGGACAACTAAGGCACAGGGAGGTTCTGCACACACAGCTAGTCAATGACAGAGACAAAACAAAAAACACAGGTCTCCTTGCCTAATCCCCTGCCCTAATCACTGGACAACAATGCCACAGCCCATGATTAAAATACATAAACGAGTAAAACTTGATAGTTTTCTCTGCATTATTATACAACTAAAAATATAGGCTCCAAAGGAGTTGCTTTTAAATGCTACACACTCTTTAAATGCTACCCCATAAAAAGGACACTGATTCCCCCTAGCAAAAATACCTAATTTTATAGAATAAACATAGAATGTAGATAAAATATTTCCAATCCTGATCTTTGTTTCCTTATTCTGTTTGTTCAAACTCAAGAGATGTAAATATGCACGTAAGATTTAGCACCTTAGATACATGGAGTTTTTAATAAGATGGAAGGATGCTTTCCTTACCCGTCTTTTTGGCTGTGGGAAGCCATCTCTATGTCTCCGCCTTGCTCGCGAACGGGAGTGGAGACCCAGTCCTTTATTGAGCGGGTCAAATGAGTCTAAAGTCAAAACAACATCAGCACAAGTTAAATTAATTATATGATTTAACGGGGCCATCTAGAAATGAGAGTTTGAGTCATTACTAAGCATCTTAAAATTAGAGATGCCACATCTGGATATTCCTATTGCATTACCACTGGATAATTAAGCAGTAAAAGCAGCTCTGTCGATGTCAGCTAGAAGGAAGCTCGGAGATGGAGGACTCCCATGTAAGGGACATGGAATTCTCAGGGTAGGGGGAAAAAGCCCAACACACTGATGTGCTTCTGTACATAAACTGATATCCTTTGTACTCATGAAAGACTCCCACCAGGACAGAGAGGTGACAAATTCACAAGCAGTCAAGGAAGAGTAACCACTATTCTCTATCAAATCATCTAAACTATGTTTTTTAAAGTGTAAATAAACGTGCTCTATCTTATTGGGATCAAGTATCTCTATTAGAGAAGATGTATTTCAGCTTTAACAACATGCATTTGCCCTCTGTGGGCAAATTAACTTCTTGCAATAAAGATACTGGAAGGATAGTTTCTAGCAAATCATGTATATATTTTTTTAATATGTCACAGTGTGTTTTTCTACATGTTACACAAACCTGAGGGAAAGTCTGCCTCCAGGTCCTGCTCCACGTCCCCTTTGGAGAACTGCCTCAGCTCGGGGTCTGGATCCTGCATGGCATTTGATCGTAAGGCATAGTGATTCAGCTCATCCTCCCAGCTGTGTGGAGTTGACACTGCTTCTGATTCTAGATCGCCACTGTAAGTGCTGCCTTGATCTGTAACGAAGAGGACCCATATACAAAATGCACCGAAAGGAAAAAGAGATGTACAGTAGGACCAAAGTCCTCTCGACAAATGAAATACCAACCTTTCTCAAATATCTTAGGGTCCAGGAACAGCTCATGCTCAGATGTTTGGGATCCTTAAGAAAAAAGACAACAACTAGAATTCGTATGGACATGAAGTATTTTACTTATTTAAAACAGTAGCTGAAATGCAGAATTTCTTAGCTCATACAATTGATCCAAAAGGTCAGGAGACTAACCGGTCAATCTTGGGCTAAGAATAGTGGACTGTGTTTAAAGTATTCAAGAAGGCATCCTGGCTTTGAGAGAGGTAACCAAAATCCCTTATGGAGTAAGACCATTTTCACTGCATTTGCCCTTGGGAAAATAAAACAACAGCTTGCTGATGGGGCAAAAGGAAGGCTTATCACAGCATGATGCAGGGGCATCTGGTCCGATGCAGGGAAAGCTGACATTTACCTACCTTTCACAGGAATGCTTCCTTTAGTATCCTTTTTTAAATGATCACATACCTCCATGAGAGTGCGTTTTTTCCTTCTCTTCATCTTCTGCAATCATTTCTGCCATTTGAAGGAGATCAGCCTCAAATGGATTTGTGGGAATCTTCTCCTTGATATCCTGAATAGTCTCTATGATCTTATCGGCATTATCCAGAGTAGTTGGGATAAGCATGGGAACTGGTACCTAAACACACGCAGGAAAGTTTAGATTTCTGAGCAGGACTTGTTTTATCGCACATGAAGTAGTTTTTTGCGTACCAAATGCATTAAAGAGGATCCAGCTATTTTTCTTCCTCTGGCACTTAGACTAAAGGGGCAACACAGACTATCTGCAGATTGGACACCTTGCTGTATCTCTGCAATAACCTGAACGATTCCTTTTACCACCACCCCTTTCCCCTGCTGCCCAGCTTTATGACCCTGCATAATGACCAAAATCAATCAAGCAGAAGAAGACCGGATGGGATTCCCTCCAAACCCCATAGCTGACCAGAGATTTGAGTGCCAGAAGAACTCAATGTCTGAATACATTGTCTTTGTGGCACTTCCAGCCTCTGAAAACTCTAGGACCGACAGACCAGGATCTGAATCTGCACCTGAGATTCTCACACTGGATTAGCCTATGCTAACTCTTTTCCTAAAAGGATGTTTACAGTACTTTCCTTGCTAGAGGTTCTGAAAGCTCCCCGGGAGAGTAGTAGAAATGCTACATAACCAGATATTTGGTTATAGATAAGAGAGACTCAGGCTGAAGATTTTAGGAAATCTCTCTCTAATTCAAATCTTTTGATGATGAAGTTGGAACCCCTGGGTTATAATTTAGGGCACAGCAGCAGAGGAGCGTTTTGAGGATGGGTATTAAATTTTAAGTGACCTCTAAGGCAATGTGACATGACTGTAGCTCTTGCAACCATCTTTTCCCCCTGAATACTGCCTACTGGGACATGTTTAGACAGAGTAAGAACAAATATAACCCTCACGGTTCTTTGTTCTAGTGAAACCAATCTTTAAACTGCAGGCCACTGAACATAACCATGAGTTGTCAGATGAGCTGAAGGGTAACTTACAGGTACTGGGACCCCAAGTGGAACTGGCGTATACTGGGTGAAGAGGTGAAGGGGCACTGGCACAAACACTGGTACAGGAACAGGCACCACAAGGATTTGGGGTCGAACTTCATCTTCCTCTGTCATGTTAAAAAAAATGAAAGTGGTTTGGTTCTCAGAGGCAAGGGAGCGTCTGACAACTCCGTAATATCTTGGAGTGGTCCATGAAGAATTATTATTAATAATTCCATTAACAGTGACTTCTGCTTGTATCTCCCCATGCACAACCTGGTATGTTCATCCCAGTGACTGACACGTCTACATAGCTGTGCGCACACCTCCTGCCCCTAGCTCTTAACATGTCAGGTAATAAGACAGATTTACCTGAAACAGGACAGGATTCCTGTCAAGACAGATAAATGTATGTATCATAGAAAGTCAAGAGCTATGACTTAGACCACTCTTCACTGGACTAGGTCCCACCCCCTTTGTATGGCAAGGGCTAAATCCTGGTCGCAAAGGGTCAAATGGGAGTTTTACAATTGATTTCACTTGAAATGGAATGTAGCCTTAAAATGTTTAGGCCAATTATTCAAAGAGGATGCCAAATTTGTGCCTGTGTCTGCATCAATAAAAGCCAGCATTTTATTTAAAAATTGCACCTACACATGTCAAATGAATTATTCCATATCTAACTATTTAATTCACCCACACTGGATTTAAGTTTGACACTCCACTCTTTCTATGAACTTATTCTAGCAAATCCCCTGCATCTTCCCTGGAAGTGACTTTTAACTTTAGTGCTGTTATTAGAAAGTGCTAGGTATACAATTCAGATGTAAACAATATTGTGACCATATACATGAACAATGAGGGAGAAAGAGGTATTTCATACACTGTTCTGTATATCAGAAGAAGGATGATTGCAATGAATACTAGACTGTGTGATCTTGTGTCTTGTAGTCAAATTGGGAGCCAAAAACTCCTTAATTCTAATCCTAGAGCAACACAAGCTCCCTCTATAGCCTTGAGCATGTCACTTGACCTCCCTGCTTCACTTTCCATATCTATAACCTGATGATAGCACCCTTGTGAAAGTTTGAGCTGATTCCAAGATGCATTCCACATGCAGTTTTCATGGACTTCAAGAAATGCAGACAGAGATTGTCTGTCTTATATAGTTATAACACAAAATGATGCTTAAAAGTACTACGCAATCAAGCAAAACCCTTTTATTTTAATATTAAAAATCCTTATCACACACTACGTTACTCATTCACCTGCAATACAGGCCTTTTTTAAAAAAAGGAAGACAATCTGACACATACCTGTCTGGCATTCCTTATTCTGGGTATGAGGTTTGCAAGATGTGGCCTTGGTCTGGGTGATCGGCTTGCACAATAATGCTTTGTTTTTTAAAAGCCTTGGAGGTTGTGATGGTGGTAGTTTCAGGGCGTCTGTCTGAGTACTAGCCTGGTTTTAAATACAGAAAAGAAAGTATAGTAAGTTCAGTTCATTTGGCTATGGTATTTTGTTACAATATGAGATGCAAGCCTCCTGCAATATAATACAGATATAATTTAAAAAATGGAGAATTTGGTATGCAACATGCTTTACTGTTAAGTGTGGTAACCACAAAAAAAATTGCAAAAATAGTATCTTATTTGCTCCTCGTGTGTCTTCACATCTCTCTCTTATTTCTGTCAGTGAAGCAAAGGGTGTTTTTGTTTATTACTGACAACACTGCTGAGAATAAACCCACAAGAGTGTCTGGTTTTAGATAACAAATAATGCTGGCTAAGTTCTGATTTTGAAACCTTAACTGTTTAACAAATATCTAAGACCCAGAAAGAACATAGCTTAGTTTTCAGATGCCATGTGGGGAATGCAATTAGAAATATCCCATCAACTAGGCAAACTGCTGTGAAGTCATTAAAAGGGAAAAAATATTAAAATAGAACAAACAAGCCCGTCAATTTTAGGATCACTTTTTTGACTGTAAGCAAACTGATTAGTTTTGCTTCTAGTTTCCTGCACACTGTGCTGAATCTCTCTCTCTGTCATCATCTATTCCAACAGCATGATCAGATTATAGTAGAGACTCCACTAGGGGGGAACATATATTTGCATTAATGGGCATACTGTAGTTTAGAACATCAAATCAGCAGTTTACCAGTGTACACCAGAAAAGAGACTTCTCTATGCAGTAAAAATTCTAGCTATCTATGAAGATATTAGCAAGTTGGATGTATTTTGAATCTCAGTCACTGTCAGAAAAAAATCAGTTCAAATAACCGCTGTAACACTACATATGGAACAGATATTTGATGTTTGGATAATATCTCTAACAAATCAGTGTGTCTGAGCAAAGCAGGGGGAGGGAGAGGGGGGGCAGGAGGAAGTTTAAAGGTTCTTTTGCAAAAACTTACATCTCCAATGATCTTTGCTGTCACAGTAGGAACTGCACCTGTTAATTAGAACAACATAAACTTAATTTCTGTATTGCCTAACAGCAATCCTACAGAGGTCAAGTATTAATCTCCAGTGGGCCCAATTCTCTGTTGAATGTAATTAACATTGTAGTTATTTACACCTGTGCAAAGTGAATGTGACAACCTCGCCATTCTAATTTGGTAGCATTTTACATTCGCTCTGCAGTGGTGTAAATGAAGGCACAAAGTACAGGGCAATGAAGAACTGGGCCTGTTATCTTCAATGGGAGCAGGACCTAATGCTGCCTATCAGACCTATGAACAACCAAAATACAAGCTCAAGAAAAAAGATGTAAAGACTTTGAAACTGTGTATTGAGGAATTCTACCTTGTAAGACGTTGTTGGAGTTAACCGTGGGCTGGGCAGCAGGGGCACTTGCTAGGGATACCACGTTTGCTATAACCGGAGTTGAATCCTTCCTTAGAGAAGGAGGGCCTGATGAAGAAGTTGGTGTCATGGAAAGGTTTGCTGTTTAGAATGAACAGAAGAAATCTAGTGTAAGCATTAATATTACTGATAACAGGGCGTATTCATAGCTGTCTAACATATTATGCAAGATCCACCCTCCACTCCAATACATACACTCTTATAGTTAAAAGCTTGCGTAAATATCAACTGCAGGTTTTTAATTCAGATTAAAAAAATCTGTTTCTTTAAATTCCATATGCAAACCATGCTACCCAGTCAGTGGGACATCTCAGAAATTGATCACAGCATCAAAGGGCCTATTTATATTATGTTTTATTATGTAAGTACCATGGGGCCAACTGAGAACGGGACCCCACTGTGCTAGGCACTGTACAAACAGTAGTATGAGACAGTCCATGCCCCAAAATCCTTATAATCTAAATAACTCAGGTGAATTGTAACACTGCCCTACGAGACTCTTCACTGTCAAAGGCTGGTTTAAGTCCTTGACATTCATAATCCCCATGTTTACCATATTTCACCAAAGGTACTGTTCCCAGAGTCTCTGGTACTACTCCGGACACATGAGGCCAGATTGTCAGAAGTGATGCACACCTGTAGCACATCTGTTTCAGATGAAGTTGCAGGTAACCTGAACTTCTGAAAATCAGGGCCATGGTACCTATCACTATCCTTTCTGCTTAAAACACACTAACTGACAAACTTCACACTAGACCAGGAGTGTCAAATGTTTCTGTAACGGCGTGAGAGTATAAATTAATTACTGAGTTACATATTACCCTCAATCCACAGCAAAAGTCCCACTGCTATGAATAGGAGATTTGCACAAGGATCAAGGGTAGAATATGGCCTAGAAGCATACAATACACTAATATTATTTATTATCTGGTGAGTAACTTAGTGTTGCAGTCACTATCATTCACTGGCAGAATATGCCCCTCTTTAGGACCACTACTATTTCTCCCCTTTGTTTCTCTTCCTCTTCCTCCCCTCTAACACTTCATTCCCTACAGCAGCTCACAGTTCCTATTCCTTTGGGACGAATTGTCACCATCCTTCCCATTCCATCTGTTCAAATAATCAGTGAGGAATAGCTACAGCTTACATCAAGCTTAACACTAATATTTTAAGAGTCAACACCTAACGAAACTGGAGCTCAGAGTCATTGTTTCAAAATGTCTGCACATTTGGGAAGACAACTCAGCACTGGTTAAACTGAGTTCACATTTGAAAGTTTGTCTTCAGAATCATGAAGTTTACAAATGTGTATTTTTTAATGAATACTTAGATTCTGCCAAATATGATGCTGCCATGTGGGCTGCTTGAAGAAAACCAGGTGCCTGACATCTCTGCAACAGATATTGCTCTAATCAAATGTGCTTTTGCAAACAGTGACACTCAAAAGTAATTTTTAATTTCTCTCGTTTTCTCTACATTGAGCATTTGCGTCTACTTAACACGTAGAGAAATCTTGTTTCTCCGCTACAGAGGATTAAAGTCACAAGAGGCAGAAGAGCCCTAGATCAGTGTTTCTCAACCTGGGTGGGGAGGGATCACAAGTACAAGGCCGGCATTAGGGGGTGGGAAGCAGGGCAACTGCCCAGGGCCTCACTCCACAGGGGGGCCCGTGAAGCTAAGTTATATGCTTCAGCCCCGGGCAACAGGGCTCGGGCTTTGGCTTAGTAGAGGGGGGGGTCACAATTTTTTATTTAGTTTTTGTAAAAGACCAAAGGAGGTTGAAGGAAAAAAAGGTTAAGAAACACGGCCCTGTATCATAGAATCGTAGGTTTAGAAGGGACTGCTAGGGTCATCTAGTCTAACCCCCTGCCAAGATGCGGGATATACCTGAGTCCATCCAATGGCTATTCTCAGTAGGGGATGTGTGTGTACATTATATGATTTATGAAAAGGTCCACTGAACTGAGTTTTCCCCGAAATGGTCATACTGCATTATCCAAAGCAATTGTTCTGTTCTTATGTTCTAATTCACATCCTATTTTACCTGTGTTGTTCTGAGGTGGGGGTTCAGACACAGTTTGCTGATTACAGAACATCAAAATACAAAGCAGGTTGCAAAAATGTTTGATCTCCCCTTGCCATTTCATAGACTCACTGAGTTTACCTTGTCTTTTACAACCATCACACTTTGCCATCTAAAAAAAAACAGCACGGGGAAAAAAAATTAAAAACACTCAAATACCAAGATAACAATGAATGCATATAAGTGAGCCCCTTCCCACCTACCTCCAAAAAAAGCTTTCAGCTTATATGCTGGTACTTTTAGAATAGCTGCAACATTTATTGGCGCTGCCACAAAACAGCCTAAAGAATGAGAGCATTAGATTGTGTTCTCCTGTAAGGTTCCTTTATATGTAGAACTGGTGTTCACAACGACTTGTGGGGGGTGGGAAGGACATTCAAAGGCACAAAGGGAACCTGGGCATCCAATTCCCCTTTCTACCTTTGGCTATCTCCCCTGCAAAGCCCAGGAGCAGCACCAAAGCCAATAAACAGGATTTTATAATTATAGAGGCACAGGGTGGTGAGCTGAGTGTGCCCCAGAGTGAGACAGAGAACAAGCAGGGCTGAAGACCCAAATAACCTGACTAATTCTGACAGCAAATGCAAAACACCAAAGAGTGAAGACTTCCTTTTTCATTCCGCTCCCACAGATATGCAAGACCTTTAAAGGAAGCAGAGGTCCACTGCAGACAGTTTCATGCAGCTCTTGGGCTTCAGAAGTTCTTTTGTTATGGCATTTACATTTCAGAAAGTGATGCATGAAAGCTACTTACCTGATAAAACAAAACCGTAAATTTAGACATGCATTCTTCTGAGCAGAACTCCTCCATCTTTCCCCCAAAGTGATTCTGGACCAGTTTGGGGGAAGCCTGTAAACAGTAACTGCACATTTTACAGTGGTTTCCCCAGCGTTTAGCCAAGTCGTGTTTATAGAGCAGTTTACAACCTAAGACATCAAAGGAAGAACAAAAACAAAAAAAATGAATATCAAATTAAGGTGTTTGTTTAGTTCTTGCTGTTAATTGTGACTTTACGATAATTTATTAAAATTGATCATGAAAGTATAAAGTATGGACAAAGACCTAGTTAGGTAAACAGATGAGATTTCTCATTTTATTGCTCTAATTTTATGGCAGGATGCTTTCTGATAGGATTTACCTGACACACAGGCCTGCCTTTTCTTACCTTCACTACAGAATGGCTTGTCTATTCCTGAGAATCGCACGGTCTCCTTGATAATCTTCTCAATTTTGCAGTATGCACACATTGCCATTACACTACTTCTCTTCTTGTATTCATCACAGCAGGTCTTCCCACAAAACTGAAACATTTTACCCTGTAATTACATGAGACTAATTCAATTATGCCAAATCTTGTTTTCCCCCCAAAACCAGTATTTTTAAATAGTTTAAAAAACAAAACAAAAAAAACATGTAAGAGATTTCTGTTGCTGGTGAAAATCACCATTTGATAATGCTGGAGAATAAAGTCCGCAGAACAGGTGCAGCACAAGGAGGGAGTGGAAAGGTTCCTATAGATGCACCTACCAATGTGCTTCACTCCTGACCAAAGGGATCATCTCTAGAGGCAAGAAGGAACGCTGCCTACATAGTCATTTAATCCTTCGCCTTTCTTCTGAGGCAATCAAAAAGGACGCAAATCAATGCCAATTTTGATGGTGGTATTGCTGTACCGAACCGACTACCCAAATCCCAGGATAGCTGGCCATAGCAAGACACCAAAGGACTGTTGCCAGATTGCTCCACGTTATGGTTTTGTGCCTGTTTCTGATTCAGAAAGATCTGCATGCAAAGCTCTGATCTTTATTACCTTGTAGTCAAGCAGCTCCGGTTTGGTTGCAAACAGGCGGTTACAGTGCTGACACTTGAGTTTCACAACAGTGCGGGCGAAAGTGACTTGCTGGGACTGAGCAGCGAGCCTCTGGAGACCAGCTGCAGCCGAGCTGCTCATGGAGCTGGGGGAGACAGTCGAGGTAGTGCCACCTGATGCGGATACCGTTGCCCCCGAGGGAATGCTTACAATGACTTGACCCTGCGACAGGGGCACCACAGAGGAGTTCATTCCTGCAGGCTTGTTGAACAAGTTCTGTCGGAAAGCAATTAGGAAGGTATATTTTACAACAGGAAACCCATCTCTTGGAGATTATAGTACTAGTCTGCCATTCTATTAATTGAACTTTGAAAGAAAGTCTAGACATGATACCTGAAAAGCTACAACGCAGCTGTAACTGCAGAAATTGCGTATACTCCCATCTGACATAGCCAGGTGATACTGAGGGATTGCTGAAGTTTTACAGCTGTTACACTGAACTTGGACACCTGATGGAAAAACAAAGAAAAAAGAAAACCCAGTGAATAAAGCCACACAAAAGCATTGCAAATGGCTTTATACTGTGTGTACAAAAAACACCAAGGACTCTGAATGACCAAGTTAGATATATCCAAGAAAGAATATGACCAATGTCCTACAGAAGAAGAAGCAGCAGCCAGAGTAGATTGAGCATTTTATGATAGGTTGACATGAGCACTGCAATGGTGGTACATAGGTGCCTGCATAGTACTTTATAGTTCATTAATGCTCACAGCATTGTTGGCAGGTCAGTAAGCATTTGCCCATTTTACAAGAGAAGCATCTGAGGGACGGAAGCTGAAGCCAAAGGGGGAATGAGTGTCAATCTGGAATATTAAAATGCAAAAGTTCTGGGGCCCACACCTGTCATTTGTGACATGTAAAACCCCCAATCCGTTTAAAACAAAAAATAAAAATACAAAAGCTGCTGTTTAAACAATAATACATTTGAGGGGCTTGGCAGAAACGTGATCACCTATGTACAAGATACAGGAAGCAGAGTACTAGAGTGATTAAAGTCCGCCCAGTGCTTTTGACTATATGAAAAGCTATAATTTTTTAAAATTAAAATTGTAGTATTGGAACACAGTGTACACAGAACGTGATAGAATGTATGTTCCTTGATAAAATCCCATGGTTAACTGGCTGAGAAAGAACTTGGCCTGCAAAGAACTGGAGTGTTTTACAAACAAAGGCCAACAAACAAACCATGCACTGGTTATCACCTCAGAACCATCATTTATGCACAATTTCTGTAGGCATGCCCATGACAAAACAGTGCACCAGACTAGTGCACCCTGGCACTCACACCACACCTGTCTGTTTCATGCTTGTGAAGAGGAAGTACATTAAGATTTACAGGTATCTCCCTGCTCTCTGAAGTCATAGGAAATTCTGCACAGGTTGTTATTCTAGCAGACAGGGAACAGGATGTGCATTAGATACCAACACAGCAGACAGATCCACTTTTAGGGCTATCAGCATTCAAAGCATGCAAGTAAGTTTACACCCAAGTGCACAAAAAGAAAAAGAAGGAGTAAATGAAAAGTTGATAAAACTTTAGCTTCTTATTCTTTTTTCTGGCAAAACAAGATAATATTTAAACTGGAAGCACTGCAAAGTTAATAGTTGTATATACAACAGGAAAAAAAAACATAGCTCTTATTTCAGTCTATTATTCAAATTATTTTTTAAGCTTTGTTTTCAAGATAAACTAAGTTTGATCTAAACTAGATGGAACTATGGATGTAAAACAAAACAAACAAACAAAAAAGCCCCAAAGGAATAAAGTTACCTGCAGATGTAACCATTTTAACTCTGTAGGCTGACAAGCAGTTAACAGAGCAAAAGAGTTCGGTCTTTCCTAAATTATTTGTGCTCTCTATCATCTCAGCTGAAGATCTCAAAGACTTGCACAGTGCACAGGGTGTAATTTTTGCTGATTTCTGTGGAAAGAATAAAATAAGTCACTCGTTTGCAGGTTTGATGCAAATTTTAAGCTCCAAATTAACCACTCTAGCACATAAAATGTACATAAAATATGAGAGCCAGTGTATATGACGTTTGATTTCTTATGAAGTTACTGCAGTGTTTATTACTTACAATATTTTTCTTCACTGTAACCTTATGCTCCCTCATGTTTGTTTGTACTCCTTGTTTTATATCTAGGTTGTAAGCCCCTCTTTTTATGGGTTTAAATAGTACCTAGCATAACAGTTCTGGGGCCTCTAGCCACTGCTGCAGCACAAACAATTCCATGCATCTAGTAGCTTTTGTTGGAGTGTCTCAAATATTTTGCTAACGTTAACTTTCAACACACCAGTGAAGTAGGTACACACGACGGCCATTTTTGCAGATGGAAAGATGAAGGCACAGACAGGTGACGTTACTTGCCTAGGGACACAGAGTCAGTGGCAGGGCTGAGACTAGAGTTAACTACCATCTCCTAGCCTTAAAAATGCATTTTGTTCTGTAATCAAGTAATATCAGAATTTTGTGGAAGGACACAAGGGAAAGAGACTATATACAATTTGAGGATTTAAAATATCACAGACAAGCAGTTGGTTAGAACTGGTTTATCAGTTGCGATAAGTATTATTAAAAAAAAAAAGTTAAAGGGATCAGAAAGGGCAGTGAATCAAGCAGGGTTGGGAAGAGAGGAAATAAAGCCCCTCAACTCATTGTCATATGAAAATATTTGTGATACATGTTCGTAACTCATTTATGCAGTACGACTGGGTTTCCTCCAATGATATACAACATAAAACTTAAGTTTGAAATTATTCTTTCCTAGATTTCTACTGCATAACGACACATTTTCTCCCTTTTCCCATCTAAGACCTGTTCCTTGCTCTTTCATCCAGGTTTAGGCTACAATTTTCAGCAATGATCATTGTTTTTGAAGGTACATTTTTGCATCTGCACATCAATTAACTGCAGATACAAATGCCACCATTTAATCAGCCAAGTACCTGATTTGCAGGCAGAGTCAAGTATCTTGACATCTTAATGGTGATACCTGAATGGACAATGCAAAAATGGAGGTTACATTTAAAATATCAGGGCCTTAGTATTTATCTTCTATACAATGCTACAAATCTACAGGGTACCATATTGTGGTAGGTAGGTTTCAAACAGGTAACTGGTCCCTACACTTAAGGACTTACAACCTGAAGACAACAAAACAAGGGGCATAGCCATTAGAGCTTGAATGTTCAACATAGGGTTTTCTTAGAGACGGGCTTGAGTTATAGTTTGGATGACAATTTGAATTTCTCCAAAGTTGGTGGTGTCTGGATAGAAGACTTTGGTTCAGGTCTATTTCTAGTTTATCAGAGGTGGAGTCAGAGGAAGCTTAGCATATGCTGGTAGCTGTTCTAGGCATACAAGGTGGCATGAAAAAAGGTATGGAGACAAAGTGACATGTTTGAGCAGAGCTTGAGAAATTAAAGGGCAGAGAGGTATTCAGGACAGAGTTAATGAGAACTGAAGCCTTCTATGAATAAACCAGGTCTATTCCTTAAATGGTCTATTCTAAAGTCCACACTTACCAATTAAAGTAACTTCTCAATCAATGGGACACGAAGTTTTATAAGTATCAAAGTACCTGTTTATACCCGGTAACACATGTTGAACTGCAGAACTTCTTTGACTGTCCTTCTATTTGAAGAACGTGGCATTGGCCAGAGCCACTGTAACAGTAGCCCCCACAGTTCTCACAGCAGTTCATAGTCAAGTTATTAGCAGAACGGAACTTGGAGAAGCAGGCATCACTGCAGAGTTTGTGTACAACATTCTGATAATTCACTTCATGTCTAATCTAAAAGAATAAAAAGTGAAATAGTTGGTGTCCGAGACATTAAACTGTTCTGATCTGCAGGCAATTCAAACTAGAAAGTAGAAGTTAGGTATAAATTACCACTGCATTCTTCTGGCACATGCTGCACTTGGTTGAAATGCTGTTAGTATGAATAGTAACAACAGGTTTCCTTTTCAATTCATATGTAGAAAGACATGACTGGCTGCAGAAATCCTTGCTGGAGTTTGTATTGTCAAACTGTGCAGTGATCACATCCTTTGGATTTAGGATCTCTCTATTTAAATTAAAAACAAACAAACAAAAAACCATCAGCTTGATACACCCATGGCCCTTGGCAGACCAAACACATTATCTGTAATGGTAGTAGTGTAGTACTAAGAGAGCATGACAGTGTCTCACTCCCGTAGCCTTTATTTCAATAGTGTAGCCTTCCTCAACTATAAACCCAGCAGAATACACTGAGACAAACTTCTTTGTTTAAAAAGCTTACTCTCAAGGTGGGTTGTGTTTTTGCAACTACTTTACTCATTAACTTAGACAATCTGGTTTGCTTAGATGTCACTAAGTAACTCGGTTTTTAAATGCAGTATGGAAAATAAGGTGATGTAGACTGTGCAAGAGAAACATTTGTCAAAACCTTCAGAAAGCAGGATACATAAATTAAATTCAGAAGAATGTTCCTTTAACAAGGAAAATACTCATCAGAGGGGAAAAACAACAACAAAATACACCTCCTGATCACTGTGAAGCCCATCCCAAGATGCTTTGATGGTGCTGTTCCAATCCTTCCTTTTTTCACCTCTTGTGCTGCTCTATTTGATTCTTAACTGCTGAATTTGACAGAGACGAGTTAGTTTTTAGTCTTATTTCCTACCCTGCCTGCCCTCTTAATTACTGCAATTCTTTTGGCTAAAATGTTTTAAAATTCTTAAAGAGCAAATCTTCTAGGCCAATGCTCTTGATGGAAGGCTTCTGACAGTAAAATCAAGTTTAAAATAACACTGCACTTATAGCAGATGAGAACTACTTTTCTGAACACAAATATGAACAGCAGACAACTGAACATTGTTGCATGGATTTTTCACAGTGATGCATTAAACAAACCAAAACAGCAAATTGCAGTTTTATATTTAAGCTCAACTGACCCTGTAAATCTGAAGGTAACAAATCTGTTGTTGAGGGAGTCACAGTGATATATAAACAAAGCAGAATTCACTTTGCAAAGTGACTTTCGTAACTAAAAATACCACATATGAATAACTATACATATGAATAATATATTAATTAGATATTGATGAAAGCTTGAACAACTACACCCAAAATTTCTCTTGGTTTAGTTTGGAGATAAGGACACAAAAGAAGATATGGTTTATAGGAATTAAAACTGCTTCTGAAGCAGTAGACAACAAATGCTGGCTCAATGCTACTTTCATATTCAGAACAGGTTTTTCAAATTATGCCTATAAAGGGCAACGTTTCTTTTTCCATACTTGACAGAAGTTGCGAGCATCTGATTTAGGTCCTAATATCCCCCTAAACCAGAAACTTATTTCATGCTCAATAATTTCATCTCTTCAGCTCAGCAAGGGTTAGATATTATATAATGAAGTGCCACCAGCGTGCTCTCAGGTGGCTTCTTTGGCCAAAAACTTAATGGACAAAACCTAACCTTGCAAAGTGGAGAGACTACCCCTATTGGTAAATTTGATAAATAGCTTAGAGAGCGAGAATTTGTAGGGAATCTCATGAAATACAATCTATCAATTACATTCAACTACTAAAACTTGATTTTACTTCATTGACTTTAGTAATTTGTTTTCAGTTGAAGAGCATCTGTTAAATGTATTCTCAAAATATATTTAAAACTTAAAGAAGAGTAAGTCTAATTTTGTATAGGATTATTTTAAGAATGGGGGAAGGGGACCAAGTACCTTTTGAGAGGCAAACTTTTATTTCCTGTTGATTTTAACTGGAAAAAAAGAAGGTGTGCATATCAGGGTAAGCGTTTTAAAAATATATATGTAGTTGCATACAACAGCCCATTTGCAGTGACGGAAAACCAAGTTCACACTATCATTTGCAAACAGCTAAATCAGCAGAGGCAGAGAATGAAATGTATTTCTGAAAGAAAAGACTGGTGGTAAAAGTGGGTACTGGGGGGAGGGGGAGGAAGAGATGTAAAATAGCGATCCCTAACAAGCTAACTTTTCTTCACAAACAAAGCCTTTGATATTCATCTGAATGTTAGTTATTACTAGAACTAGCTAGAACACTGCTTTACTTTGAGCAGCTTGAGCACGTCTTCTTTGTAGAAGCTGGTGGACGAGAAGCGGGAACAGTGTATCCAGTGAGGCACAGTGTGGAGCAGAAGAGCTGAGTAGACCCTTTCCTCTGGTACGCTGTTTGTCCCTTCTGGAGGATTTTTTTACAGCCAGAACAGGAAACCCGAATGGCTGTGGTTGGAACTGAAGGCAGCATTTTACTCATGCCAGAGGATGCCACAGCAGGCTGGAAACCTGATGTCAACTGTGGAGCTAGAAAAACAAGAGGAAATATATGTTAACAGCCAATACGTGCTGGGTGAAATTCATGCTGTACAGAAGGCCAGCCTCTGCATTTGAGGGACTAACTGGGACTTCAGTAATGCACAAGCTTTGTCCATACATACGTATATATGCGTCTCGTGCTGGCCTTCTGCACAGGAGCAAATTCCACCCATTGTTATAACTAAATACATACTTTTACATCCCTTTCAGATTTAATTCTCTCTTGGGTTCTGCAATACAAGCATTTGTAGGTCTACACCTGAAGAGTGTCTAGAAGCTGAAGCAGACTTCATTTCTGCTGCAGTTAGACGGCAAATGAAAAGCATGCTAACCCCTGGAGTCATTTTTTGAAGTTGAAACATGTGGAAGATTTAATTCAATTTGGTTGGTCTTGTTCCTTACCAAGAGGACTGCCACTGACTGAAAATACAGCACTGATCTTCAGCTCCCCTTCCTGAGTTTTTGGCTGCTGGCCATACTCCTGAACAAAGGAAAAAGGAGACCAAATAAACAAACCTAACTAAAAGTGACATTAAAACAAATGAAATGACATCAATTCCTTCATAATGTGCTACTGAATACAAGGTCCAAGAAACCAAAAAATGAGAACTCTTCATAAACTTCTATGTCAAAAATCAAGGCCCACTGCATTCACAAAGCTCACATTGGTGTATGCAAATTGTGTAGTGGTGTGTGGAGATTTCATAGCACAAATTATATGTTCCCTTCCTTGGTTATATTTTCAAGACACTTTGATGGCCAAGCCTTAAAACATCTCCATGCTTCTCCCCAAATAATTAGCAGTTATTAGAGAGCTTTTCATCTACAAAGCACGTTGCAACTTATTGTTCTTGACCTTGTCTTGTAAAATAGAGGCAAGTATAATACTTAATCTCTGTTTTCTCATATGTAAATTGAGGAATTTCCTCATGTCCATAAAGGGAGTAGGTGTCAGAACTAGAATGAGGCGTTCCTGTCTTCTGTTCAAACCATGCTCCCCTATTTGCTCTCTCCAGACATTTAAACAAAACAGCGGCCACCACGCAGAAGCAAGGCACATTCTATATGCAGAGTCTAAAGTTTAAAAAAATAAGTTTCATGGAACTATATATATATATATTATATATGTTTAAACAATTTTCAAAACACACAATACATTCAATGTTTTATAACAACAACGAGGAGTCCGGTGGCACCTCAAAGACTAACCAGTTTATTTGGGCATAAGCTTTCGTGGGTTAAAAAAACCACTTCTTCAGATGCATGGAGTGAAAATTACAGATGCAGGCATTATTATATATATTAACTAATATAGTAC